GGCTTAGTGGGTCAGCAGTTTAGAATGTGGGTTTTATTATCCATGCGGTAAAACCTCTAAATGCCAAGGCGACATTATCTGTGAAGCAGCCCTCCATTCCCTAGCCTCCCATAGAGAGGAAAGCTACCCTCCAGCTCCCAGAATGGCTAATGCCAATTGGAACCAGCGAGCCCTTACTAAGCCAGGCAGGACTCTGGCTTGCCAATGACACGGCCTGGCTACACTAGCTTAAATGCAGATGCGGAGTTTATTGCAAGAGTGTAAGGCTGTCTCATGGAGCCCAAGAATGAGAAGGCGGTGACTGGAGCGACCTCGCCCAAAGGGGCTCTGGTTCACCAGTCAGGCCGTCTTGCCCCTCAGCAGTTTTAATCTTCTCTACTTTCTCTCTTTTGTGGATCAGCCATCTCCTCTTGTGGGTGAGAAAGTTTTTCTTTTTGACAATTTTAAAATTTTATTTTTATATTTTTTATTGATTTCAGAGAGAAGAGGGATTTTTATTAAAGGGAGAGAGAGATTGAAACATCAATGATGAGAGTCATTGATCGGCTGCCTCCTGCACGCCCCCTGCTGGGGATCAAGCCCAAAACTTGGGGAATGTGCCCTGACTGGCAATCAAACCTCAATCTCCTGAATCCTAGGTCGATGCTCAACCGCTCAGCCACGCCAGCCGGACTAAATTTTATTTTTTAAAGTATTATACAGTGTATATATGTACCACATCTTTATATACACAATGGGATACTACTCAGCCATAAGAAAAGGTGAAATACTGCCATCTGCAACGACGTGGATGGATCTTGAGAATATCGTGCTAAGCAAAATAAGTTAGAGAAAAAGTCATGATTTCACTCCTATGTGGGATGTAAAACTGAAAGCAACAAATGAACAAACAGGACAAACAAATAAATAAAAACTCATAGACACAGACAATAGGATGGTGGTTACCCGAGGGAAAGAGGAGCGAGGGAGTAGTAAAGGGTAAAGCGGGGCTCAAAATATGGTGACAGAAAGAGATCTGACTTTGGGTGGTGGACACACAATGCAATATACAGATGATGGATTATAGAATTGCACACTTGAAACCTATATAATTTTATTAACCAATGTCACCCCAATAAATTCAATTTAAAAAGTATCATACAGTAAAAATTTTTCTTCTGAAAAGTATTTATGAATTTTGTGAATTTTAATACAAGTGTAAATTTGTGTAACCACAATCAGGACCCAAAACAGTTTCTTAACCCCCTATAACTGCCCCATGCTACCCCCCACCTATAACCCCTGGCAACCACCGACATGTTCTCCATCACTATAGTTTGTCGTTTTGAGAATGTCATGTAAACAGAATTATACAGTATGTAACTTCTAGGGACTGGCTTCCCTCAATCAGCACAGTGTCCTTGAGATGAATTCAGGTTGCTGTGTGTATCAACAGTGTCTCCCTTTTTCAGCTGTATAGTATTCCCCTGTGTGGATGCACCAGAGTTTGTTTCTCTGTCCACCTGCTGAGGGATCAGATACAGTTTTAAAGCTTACATCTTTAACTGCCTGGAAATGATTAACTGATATTCTTGGTTTCAAACCTAGAAACCCCTGTGAGGTACTCATAGGACCAGCATGGATTAAATTGCTACCCCTGAAGAAATACACCAGGATTGGGGATAAGATGTTAGGATTGGTCGAGCGTGGGCCCAGGCTCAGCCCTGGTGCATCACCTGTGGCCAGGAGTGCAGAGTCCTGAGGAAACAGGGCAGCTGCCACAGAAACCATGAGGATGGAGAGGGAGAGGGAGAGATGGAAAAAGAATCCATTCTTAACCTAATCTCCCACGAACTTGTCCACCCAACCCCTTCCCAGGTAAATCAGTCTAAAAGGTATGGTTCCCCATTTCCAATTCACAAGGCCTGAGAGCCGTGCTGCAAACCCAGTTTGGCAGAGACGATTACATTCCTTGGTGGTCTGAGTGGTAACAGACAAGGGTAGGGGTTGCCCGTGTGGCCCAGCCCACTCTCCTTGCCTCACTGGCCCTGCTCTCTTAGACTGTGACCTGACTTGGTGTCCTTAGCAATGACCCGGATTCAAGCCAAACCTGGGGCAGGCATTTTGCTTGCAACTCATGTTCTAATCTTCTCATTTGTCTTCCTTTTCCTTGAAAGATAAAAGGTTTCTTTTTCTTGTTTCCCCATCTAAGGCACCTTTTTAGTCAGTGCTGCACTGCCTTCCAAATAGGTTTTTCTAGCCCGTGCATACTAATGGCTGTGATGGACTGAAGGCTGAAACCAGGCTTCCACTCAGCGTTGTCTGTCGCCCACGTATCCTGTGCATCACACAGAGCTGCCTCTGATCAAATCCCTAAAGCCAAAACAACAACAATAACAACATCAAAAACAGCAAAACAGCAGAGGTGCCTTCATCTCTGGGGGTGAGAGAGGAGGAGCCCTCAGGCGCAAGCGGAGCAGGCGGGGCTCAGGGTCTCCTGTCCCTGCAGCCGGGGCCACGCTCTGCGATCTCTGCTCTATGCAAGGCTTCTGTGCAGGCTCTATGGGGAACATGAATTCCAAGGCCGAGAGGAAAATCCGACAAGCTCTGCCCCAGCCAAACACGGGGACACAGAGATTCCCGCTCCTTACACATGCCCCCAGCCGGCCTTTCTCCTGTCTCACCCGCTTTGCTTTTCTTCGGAGCGCTCCTCTCATTTGGTAGTTGTTTCTCCGGGAGCTGCCTTGTGCACAATCTCTTCATTCCTTTTTGGCGTATTCCAGAAGAATTTCTTGTTTGAGTTTTTAAATTTAAATAATTATTGAAATAATCAATATTCATCTTAGAAAAAATATAAAATGTATACAGGGAAAAATTTACTAAAATGTATCTTCCCATGCCACCACCCAGAGGCAGCTGCTTTTAACCTGCTGTCCAACATTAATCCCTTTCGTTGCGCATTCAGTATATTCAGGACATCCACCCATTTTATTCCACTTCTCTGTCAGCGCCTTAGTCCCAGTCTCTTAACTGGTCTCTTGATCTGTTAAAAGTAGAAATCCAACCTGTCACCCCCCCTGGTTAAAACCCTTCAATGGCCTCCATGGACAAGCAAAACACGCTTCCTACGAGCCACTAGGGGCCGCCTGCTCTGGCCCTGGGAGCTTCTGTAGCCACGTTTCACTCCGCTGTGTTCAGACCTGTCATAAAATAAATTTCTGTTGTTTAAACCACCCAGAGCCTGGTGTTTTGCTCTGGTAGCCTGAGTTACCTAAGACACTGGCCCAGCTGTATTCCTTAGTCACTGGGAATCTCATCCTCAGCACATTTCCATCCTGGGTGTCCTGGAGAAAAGGAGGGGCTTCAGAGGCCCACTCTGTCATGGACCTCAAGCCATGTCAGTGAGGCCTACACTCCACCTCGCCCCAAAGGAAAAATGCTAGACGAAGCAAACGAAAACAACAACGAAAAGAAACAGAACAGAGTATTCCAAACAGTTCAAGCCAGAAAACAGAACGCAACAAAAGAAAAATGAAAGGTAAATGGACAGCAGCATCAATTCCCTGGCTAAAATTGCTCCCTTAGGGGAAAATGAGATTTTTCTGACCAGAATCTATGGCTTGGGGTCCCCGATGGAAGACTTTTATGATAGAGAAGGAACCAAACATCAGACCTGAAGCGTCTTTCTTTTCTGACAACAGGCACAGGCAACTCCTACTCCTAGAAGTTCATGGTTCTAAAGCACCTGAGAGGAATGAATTAGCCTTAGCAAATGACCTGTTTGGGATCAATCTTCCCTCGCACTTCATACATCACTTTATTTTTGTTTGAATATGTAGGTAGCAATCTAAACATCTGTGTAGCAACATATAGTTACAAATGATTTTCACATACATTATCTATCTAATTCCGGTGCCTATATTCAAATACAAATTAGCCACATCTCAAGAATCTCCAGCCTTGAGTCTCTAATCCCAATATTTTCAATGATTTTGATTTAAATTTGCATTAAATAAGTGGATCACCTTTGAGCATCCGACCTTCCCTTCCTATGCTCCAAAGCTCCACCCCACCCCCTGTTTACTGTCCTGTGGTCTTTATCTGACAAAATGCTCAGTGGCTGCTCAATATGTATTTGTTGAGTGAATAAGTGAATAAATAAACACATAAATAGATCTACATTTAAGTTAAAAGAAGAAAATAAGAGAGAGAACTCATGGATATGAACAACAGTGTGGTGACTGCGGGAGTGGGTGGAGGTGGAAGAGGGCAGAGAGGGGATAAATAAAAATAAAATAAATAAAATATTCTTTAAAATTAAATAAATGTATAGCTTAATGCATTTTTTTCTTCTTGTCTGGGCCCCTTACTTAATTCTCCCATAGTTTCATCTCCTTTGGGCAACTCTTCCCTATTCCCCTTGTCTATGCTGAGAGCACAGCAGGCACTAAATTGCCCTCTGAACATGCCAAGCACTTTCCCTCTNTTTTTAAATTAAATAAATGTATAGCTTAATGCATTTTTTCTTCTTGTCTGGGCCCCTTAGTTAATTCTCCCATAGTTTCATCTCCTTTGGGCAACTCTTCCCTATTCCCCNCTTTAAAATTAAATAAATGTATAGCTTAATGCATTTTTTTCTTCTTGTCTGGGCCCCTTACTTAATTCTCCCATAGTTTCATCTCCTTTGGGCAACTCTTCCCTATTCCCCTTGTCTATGCTGAGAGCACAGCAGGCACTAAATTGCCCTCTGAACATGCCAAGCACTTTCCCTCTAAGCATCTGCCTGCAAGCTTTTCTCTCCGCCCCAAATGCCTTTCTCTCCCACACTGTGTCCACCCAATGGACTCCACTCATCCATCACTGTCAGTCTGAATACCACATCTAACCCGGTGTTTCCCACGGCATCCTCCCAGTCAGTATCAATTGCTCTTCCCCAATGCACTTTATAGATGCTTCTATTTTAGCATTTACAACACTGAATTATAATAACTTATTTTATGAATGTCTTTGTTCTTTCCTAGCCTGGTGAATCCTGACTCAGACTGCACAGCAAAATCACCTGGAGGACGTCTATTGAATCAGAATCTCTGGGATGAAGCCTGGGGATCTTTATTTCTATTTAACATGGACCTCAGTGGCAATCTTTTGCAATCCTTGGGCTGACCTTAGAAAATTGTTGCTTACACTGTGTAGTCCTTAAATCAAGCAATGCATTTGACTCAGCTTTGTATCCTAAGCCAGTGTAGTATTGGTCTACAGGATGCACTCAATACATGTCAATGGACCAAAAATGAACTGATTATAACTTCCTGCCTATAGCTTTCAAATTCTTAATTTAACAGAGGAAAGGGGCAGGATATAAAGGGGGGGAGGGATGTTAATTGTGGAATTTCTAGCAGCAGTTCAATAGATGTTTGAGGGCAAAGCAGTCTTCCTAATGATTGTCAGTATGACCCATAAATAAGACCTTTGCATAAAGGAGGGAGTCTCTCTCCCCAAGCTAACTAGGACCTCGCACCCTTGGATTACAGATTGTATGAACTGAGTAGGGGAGCCATCCCAGTCTTGTACGTGCACATGGGCTTCCTCTCACCCTTTCCAGGATACAGAGTCTCAGCAAGTGTTAACTGATCACCAGTCGGTGGGATAGCTTATTGCTACTGATCAAGATATAAAAAGCATTAAAACATCAGAAAGTGAGCTCTTTCCTGTCATACTTCAGATAATTTAAACTAAGAGCTGTCAGTAGTTCTTTGCTGTCTTCTTCTCTGTTTAAGAGCAGAGAAGTTTCACAAACAATAGCAGAGAATTTGCTGCTCTAATACAATGAAATCAAAGAAAGCTTGAGAGTACTGGCAACTCCCAAGATCCCTCTCAGAGGAGCTCAAAAGCACTCTGAGAATATTAGCTATTGGGACCATCAATAACGGTCAAATCTTCATATCTAGTCAGATTCTTTAATTGCTTCTCTGGGGCATCATTGACTTTCTGCTTCATCACACACTGTAAAATTATAAATTCCTTGAAGGTCGGGTATATGTCTCGTTCCCTTTTGTACTTGTCTTATGGTTTTGCCCAATAGAGTGACCAACATGTTAAACTTATTAATATAATATCTTTGTTGTAACTTTTATTTTATTGTTTTAATTATAAAGGTAATATGAACTTCTAAAAAACCCCCTCAACATGTATGACTATATCAAGTAAAGTGATGAAGTTCTTAAAGATGGTGGGAAGGCTAGAATGACCCCTGAGGTGTCGCTGAAAAGGGATTTGTGTAGTCATGAGACTTTCGCCTTAGTTGGCATGCCATTCACAGCTACATTCAACGACTACAAGTACAAAATAAAACCAAAACCAAAAAAACCACACACACGTGCACACACACACACACACGCACACAATTGCCTTTAATTTAGAATGAGTTATACAGATTTTTCTGCCATAATTCTTCTCTTCCTTCCTNACACACACACACACACACAATTGCCTTTAATTTAGAATGAGTTATACAGATTTTTCTGCCATAATTCTTCTCTTCCTTCCTCTCCCTCCCCTCAGTAGTCATCCTTTTTAATCTCTCTACTGCCTGACATCTGACTTTGGAAAAGAGGCNAATTCTTCTCTTCCTTCTTCTCCCTCCCCTCAGTAGTCTTCCTTTTTAATCTCTCTACTGCCTGACATCTGACTTTGGAAAAGAGGCACATCTCACCTTCAGTACTGACTAGTCAATTCGATCATAGTATGGTCAAGGGAATGTCAATAGGAATTCCAGGGTCCGGGATGGAGCTGAAGCCAATGTGAGGCCTAGAGGATGAGGCGAGGGTTGGACAAAGACCAGGCAGAGAGGGAAGGGAATGGAGGCAAGGCTGAGTGTCCGGGCGCTAATCTAATCCCAGATTTCAAGAGTTGCATCTCTTACGTGAGGCAGTTGGCCTCTTGACTGCCTCCACACTACAGAACCCCTCCCATACACACAAGGCTTTTAATGCTTTTTATCATGTCATTTATAAGAATGTTCTGAGGTTACCTATTCACTTGCTCTCTGCCTCTGTATTTTATTCATCTTTCAGTCCCTATGGCCTGACTAGTATCAAGAATGCAGGAAAAAAGTTAACAACAGGTATGGGTCTAATGAGGGACTGAATGAAGTGGTTGGGATGGGTAAAGTGTGCGGAGGTGATCATAACCTAGATATATCAGGTGAGATTAGGCAAATGTATCCTAACACACTGATGCCATTTTATTGGGTTGCTGGGATTGTTAGTGGTTAAAGAGAATTTAGAGTCTAGATATGACCAAAATCCTCCCCAGTATCTGAGAGAGGCACCAGAATAATTCTGAACCAAGGACTTAATAGAAAACTGAGGAAAATAAGTAGATGATTTGATGTATCTTTGGAATTCCATTTCCACCCCTTATTAGCTCTATGACCTTGGGTAAGTTACGTCCCATCTCTGAGCCTCAGTTCCACATCTATAAAATGGAAATATATTCTAACCTACAGCATAGAGTTTGGGGTGAGGTGTAATTGAACTGTCATGTCATGCTTAGGATAGAACCAGGCACATAATAAAGAATCAATTATTATAGTACTTCTTAATTCCCCACCAACCACATGCCTGTGATGCCCCATCCAAGGCACACCTCATTGCCACCAACTTCTCCCAGGCTGCCATCCCTATCTGCTTCCCTCTCCTCCTTGCTGACCTCTCCAGTTCTGAAAACTTACCCCTTCTACCCATTTTTACTATGTCCTGTGTATGATTAAAATACTAGCAAGCCTTTATAAAGTATTGAGCTTATTTCAGACACAGTGCCAAGTGCTTTCCATCAATCATTTTCTTCTTTCCCCACAACTCTGTGATTTAGGTGCCATCATTTCCTTCAGTTTCCAGATGAAGGAATCGAATCAGGTAACTTGTCCGAGATCACACAGCTTGTGATTTGATGGAAACGTGGATAAACCCTGCCTTTCCTCTGATCCACTTCACTGTCCTTCCTCTCCTGTATGGCATAAAACTCCTTCACGCCCTTCACACGGAACTCACGGTCCTGCACCGGATACTCGGCGTCCTTGGGCTGCATCACTTCAGGGCAGACACTGCAGAGGCCTGTTCACCCCAAGGCCACATACTAGCGGCTAATACCCAGTTGGGTCTGAATTCTACTCATCCCTTGAGATGGGCTGAGTTTCAGGCCCCAGGGCTTACAGTCTTCCCGGCCTTGCTTAGAAAACAAGATGAATCTGCAACAGGCTGCCTTCCCTAACCTACTCCTTTTCCTTATGAATTACTTTTTTTTTTAATGCTCTCTCTGCTTCTGCGAAATTTGTGTGCTTTTCAAAACTGACCCTCCCCATTCTTGTCTTGTAAGCGTGATGCTTTCTACAACTGTATATCACAATACAGAGGCAGAGCCATGTCATACTTTTTTATTCTGTTCAAATGCACCTCTTTAAAACAGAACACTGGTCCTGGAGCCACGTGGACCTGGGATCTTTACTTAAGTAATGTGATTTGTAGCATGTTACTTAACCTCTCTGTGCCTCAGCAATTACATCTGTGTAATGATAATAATACCAACGTCATAAGGTTATCATGATGGTTAAATGAGATAATGTGCTTGTAAAATGCTGTGCCTGCTCAGGACTCAGTAAATCGTGGCAACGACTACCTGTGGTGGCATCCTGCCTGCCACAGCCAGCGTCACCGCGCTGAGCTGGGGACCGGTGAGGCCACACATGCGGGGCCTGCCCCACCTGTAATGAAGCAGGCTGACAGCCTGAACTGATGGCCGGGCTGAGCTGTTTCCTGCCCCTGCGACTTCCTCCTGGGGCTGTGTTTGGAACCGCAGCTTTTATTTCTGACCTCAGCCCTCTTTGAGAGTCAGGCAGAACGTTTCAGTTGCTTAAGCTTTTGGGCCTGTGTTTTCCATGTTAATTGGACCCCTTCAGAACAGAAGTTAGCTGACGAGTGGTGCTATCGTTTAATACAAGGTTGTTGATTATGCCGCAGCCGATTTCTGTCATGGGTGGGACGGCGTCCCAATCAGAGGCCATTGTCCCGCACAAGCCCCGATTGAAATGGCACCTGTGTGCTCCTTGCGGCAGCGCAGCGAGGATGTCGGGTTTCAAAGCTGGGGGCCCGGCGCCAGGGCCGTGCAGGCATTCACAGCCATGGACCAGGAGCACCTCTGCGTGTGAAAGACGGGCGCCGCTCACAAAGCGCCCCTTGAAGAGATCTGGGGCGCCGTGAATAGCTGAGTGATTGCATCTGCGGGAGGATCTGGGAGGTGGCTGCAGAGAATCAGGCGGGGAGGCTGCGAAGTGCAGGAGGGTGAGGCAGGGGTTCAGCTCGGATGGGACTTCAGTGACCCAGCCGAGGCATGCCCCTGGGAAGGGGCCTTCGGTCAGCTCCTAAAGGCTGCAGATGCGGTGACTTTGACCTGCTCAAGGTCCTGTTGTGGGGAGATGGACCCTGCATCCCTGGGGTCCTTGCCCTGTGGCTTGCTTTGGGCGGAAACACACTGGCACAGTTGGCCTTCGTCGCCCATGTTGTGAACAGTAACAAGCTAACGGGAGCAAGTGGCTGAGGGGTAAGAAAGGAGCGGCCAGCAAGGAGGGGCTGGTCAGGGGCTCTCGGACTTGGGCGTGCACGGGAGTAACTAAGGGGGCATGCTGCAAAGACACGCTCTTCACCCCACCCCACCCCAGACCTGCTGAATCAAAACTGTTCAGGGCAGCGGGGCTGAGCCTGAAAATCTGAATTTTTAAACTTGAATGTAACACTGAAGGTAATATAAGCGGTCAACTCTTATATCATCACTAGGTGGCAAGCACTCTCCAAAGTGTTCATATTCATTGACTCGTTTAATATTCACAACAGTCCTGTGAGTAGAGTGCATTTTTTTCATTCCAATTTGCAGATGAAGAAACAGAAGGTGAGTGACTGGCTCAAGGTCACACAGCTAGTAAATGGCCCAGCTGGGCATGGCTGGGGCTAGGGTGAGGTCCCAGGGCGCTGTATTTAAGAAAGCACTCACTTTCAGAATTTTGCAAGTGCCTCTCAGGGAGTCAGGGCCTCCTTAAATTATATGCCCAGGGGTCTCACTCTTCTCACTTGAGTCCTGGCCTTGGAGCTGGGATTTGAAACCATGGAGTCTCTCTTCCACTGGTGGACCCCTACCTGTGGCACAAGCAAATGCCACAGAGGAAGATCTAACACATGGAGACAGTTTCCCCCTTGACCTCCATGTGACAGTAAAGGACCTGCCTTCAGGAGAACCTGCGGCCAGAAGCTTTGAGGGTGTACAGCCTCCACAGCCCCATTTCAGAATCCACCATCTCTCTCATGCCAAGACAGTGTTCTCCCAGGGTTGGGGGTAATTTTTTGCTGGACCATTCCTGCCCAGCACGGACTGCTCTAGAGAACAAAATTTGTTCTGGTGTTCCCATCAGCCTAGCTAGGACTACCCATCTTAAGGTGCACTATGGTCTGAAGCTCTTTCTGCCCAAGCCACCTTCCTGTCCTCTCCCCTTTTGGGGTGCCAGATTGGCATCTCAGTCTGAACACTGGCTTCTCCTGCTCCCCTCCTCTTTCTCCTGCACAGTTGTTTCCACCAATAAATCTCCTATATGCTCAATTCTATCTTGACACCTACTTCTTGAAGAATGTGAAGTACCACATCTCTTTCTTTTATACACCAGTGGCTTTGAAATATTTTTGACCGAGACTCACAGTAAGGAAAGTATGTTTCATCTTGCCACACTATGTGTGTGTGTGTGTGTGTGTGTGCATGCGAGTATGTTTGTGTGTAATTCTGCTTATAATCCACAAAATTGCATTCAAGACCAAACACGTGCTGGAAATGCCACTGACTTTCACCTACCGGCAGCATTTACTGATGATCATGTGACAGTAACACTGACCTTTGATTCCTCCATCATCAGTCTGTTCAGGAGGCTCCTTGCCTTGTGTTGACCTTCCCTATAGTCTGTTTCTTGAATTGACTTCTTTCCTGTGAAATGTAGCCCAGCTTGGATGAGTGTATTTCATGACATCAAGAAACAGCTGCCAAATAAACAGATTTATATGGGTAATTTCCAATTGATTCCAATGTCAGGAGCACCTACAAGTCAAGAAGCTCTTTCAGAATACCTTAGATTTGAAAATTT